GAACATCACACGTGACAAACCAGAAATATGACCATTTTCCATCCTTGAGATTAAAGGGGCCACTGGTTGATGTACCCCTGGGTTGAGGGTGGGGTTCTCTTCTGACTCACCATAATACTTTGCCACCTGTGACCAAGCAGAGGATAGTAGCTGAGTTAAAAATATATTTTCATGAATACTTGCATAATTTTTGAATACATAAATGACAGTTTTCTCAAACTTAGAATGAGTTTTGATACCTTTCTATCCCTGTAGGCAGTGGTGTCTCCCACGGTTCCATCTTCACCCTCTAAGTTGTCACGCACACACGGTCCACCCTGTGGCAGCACAGCCCACTGCTAGCACCTGCAGAGCTTTGCTTTCATATTGTCACCTGCTTCAGTGCCTGTCACCTGTGAATAGTTTTCCAAAATAGATAAACAAACTCTCACCACAGTACCCAAACAGGTTCTATAGAATATCTGCTAGGACAGCAGCAGTAGCACCCGACTGGGACACAAATTGACACTACAAATGTATATTGACTCATCTTCATCTTACCCAGAGCTCTGAGCAATCACTAGCTGTGCAGATTCTGTCTTCCAATCACTTTTACACACATGTCGTCTGCTAAGTTTCCATGTTTTCTCCATAGCACACACTGATGAAGGGCTCTGTTGAAATTTTCCCCTGACACCCCCTGGCCCTCCTCTCCCAACCTGCCCAGGGTCTTTCTGATCTCATGGGGCTGCTGATGGCGAGATAGGCTCTGGTCCGAGGCTCTCCCCCCATGAATGGCTGCATCTCCTTTCAGCGCAGTGCTCACAGCGCTGCTCCACGTGGGCCCTCCTGGGGAAGGCAGAGCTGTCACCTCTCTTTCCTGCAAGCACAACCCATTCCTCCCATAAACATCCATCACCTGTAATGACACAAGGTAAATGAGAATGTCTTCACCAGAGTCGTAGCCCTTGGTCCATCTGCACAGATCTGGAGGTTTAAATGCGTAGGGAGCACAGGATGCTGAGCAGAGACCCTGGGACAGTGGCTGGAATTGTGAGGGGTGCGGGGTGGGGAGGGCAGGAGCCCTGAGCACCTCCCCTTCCCAGGGCCGACATGTCTCCCGCGTCCACCAGAGGGCGCTGTGAGCTCAGCACCTGCTCAGGCTCCCCAGAGAGGAGCTCTCTCCCTGCACACACTGGCACCTGTTCCTGTGTCCCCCAGTGCTGTGCTCCTCCCCCACCCCTGTACGGTCTTTCTATTTCTCAGCCAGACCCAGTGTGAGGTCAAAGGTGGGGCTTATGTAGCCCTAAGATAGGGAGAAATTTGCATGGAGACCTCCCCCCCTGAGGATCAGAATGTCAGATAAGGAGCACTGGTGAGCCCGTCCTGGCTGTCAGCTCAGGAAGCAGAGCCTGGGGTGTCCCCGCCATGGCCTGGGCCCCGCTCCTCCTCACCCTCCTCGCTCACTGCACAGGTGGCTGCCTGCAGGGAACTCAGGGAGGGCTCCTGGAAGTCACCTGGGATAATGGCTTTCTCCCTCCTCCCTGGGAACAGGCTGTGGTCCACTCTCACCTCTCTCTGTGTCCATCCTTCTCTGCAGGGTCTTTGGCCAACTTTGTCCTGACTCAGCCCAGCTCTGTGTCGGGGTCTCCAGGGCAGAAGGTCACCGTCTCCTGCACTCGCAGCAGCGGAAACATTGGGAGCAACTATGTGTACTGGTACCAGCAGCGCCCGGGCAGTGCCCCCACCACTGTGATCTACAGGGATGATCAAAGACCCTCCGGAGTCCCCGATCGGTTCTCTGGCTCCATCGACAGCTCCTCCAACTCTGCCTCCCTGACCATCTCGGGGCTGCAGTCTGAGGACGAGGCCGACTACTACTGTCAGTCTTACGATGGCAGTGCTAGTCACACAGTGCTCCAGAGCATGGGGAAGTGAGACAAAAAAAACCGAGCCAATTAAATCCAAACTAGCATAGGAAATAGAAAATAAACATTAAGGCAGAAATAAGCAGAATAGGGAATAGAAAAACAATAGAATCTACCAAACTTAAGTAGATTGTAAAAACATCAACAAATTCAAAAATCTTTTGTTAAACTGAATGATAACAAATTAGAATAGATTCAAATTACTAAAATTCAAAATAAGAATTGGGACATTAATATCTCCAATAAAGAAATTTAATATGTATATATATGTACACACACACTTATCAACTGTATATCACCAAATTAGATAAACTAGATGTAATGAAGAAATTCCTACACACCTTCAAGGTATAATATAAAAAATGACTCAATGCACATAGAAAATCTGAATATGCCTATGGTAAATGAAATAAATCAGTAATCAAATATGTCCCAACAAAAGACAGCCTAGGATCAGACAGCTTTCATGGTGAATTCTATTAAATGGTTTAAGAATTACATCCAACTATTCTCAAACTCTTTTAATAAATATCAAAGGTGAGTGAGAATACATACTAACTCATTCTATTAAGTGAGCATTACCTGTTATCAAAGCCAAGGGTACTAAAGGAAAAAGAACTAATAGCCCTTATGAATATAGATGAAAAATATCTTAGAATATACTAGCAAACTGAATCCAGCAGGGTATTAAAACGACTGTACATTATACACAAGCACTTTCTTGGATACTTTCTTGTCCAAGAAAGCAAAGATGGATCCATATAAGAACATCAAACTCCATAACACACGACATTAATAGAATGATTAATGGGGGAACCTGATCATCTGCACTGATGCAGAAAATATTTCTAGAATAAAATAGGGATGATGGAATCTTCCTTATTTATTTACATATAAATATCTGTATATTTATATATGTCTTTATATATAATATATAATAAATATATTATAAAGAAATTTTAGGTAACAGTCATAACTAATATTGTTTTCAATAGTAAAAGACTAAAAGTTATCTCCCTAAAATCAGGAACAAGACAAAAATGTTCTTTTTTTTCACCGAATCTATTCAACATTCTACTCAAAGTTAAATCATCAGAGAAATTAGGCAAGAGAAAAACAACCAAAACTCCCTGATGGTGGTGGATAAAAAGGTAAGCCTATTTCTATCCACAAATGAAGAATCACAGATTCCTACACAATGTATTAAATATTACAGTTAATAAATAAATTTATGAGATTTGAAGAATATAGAGTATACATGAAGAATTAAGTGCTATTTCTATACATTGGCAATATATAATTTAAATAGGAGATTAAGGGAAAATTTCAAATTAAAATACATTGAAAATCCTTAGAAATAAACTTAACCAAGGAAGCAAAATGCATGTACAGTAAAACTACAAAATATTTGTGCAAGAAATGAAAGATCACTTAAGTAGATGGAAAGGCATCTTGTATCCATGAATTGGATGAGTGAATATTGTTATGTTGTCCTGCTGTGTCTATGTGGGATGGTTCCAGGAACACCGTGATAACAAAATCCATACATGCTCCGGTCATTTATAAAATGGCATAGTATTTACATTTCACCTGTGCACATCCTACTTCATTTCTAGGTTACTTGTAATACCAAATAAAATGTAGATGGCATGCAAATAGTTATTATGCTGTATTTTATTTGTGTTATCGTGCATTGTTACTTGTTCTATACATTTTTGATGGCACTTATCTGATTCCATGGATTGGGAAATCCTGGATAAGGGGGGTCAACTGTACCCCAACAGCAAGCCTCAGATTCAATAAGATCTCTATCAAGCCCCACGTATTATTCCTCTTGATGTTGCTGTTTGCATGATTAGAAAACTTGACCCTAAAAGTGAGGTGGAATTGCAAAGAATCCTGGATGTCAAAACAGTCTCATAAAGGAGAACAAAGTAAAAGAACTTCCACTTTAGTTTCAAAACTGACAATAAACCTACATTAATCAAAATGGTGTACAACAGGCATAAGGACAGCCATGCAATTCAATGGGACCTTCCTGAGGCCTCAGGAATAAATCCACACACGGACAGTCCACTGAACATCCAAGATGACATGACAGGTCCTTCAGATCTTCAGGACACCTTGCTGAAGTCATTGCATAGATACATGATAAATACAAACATGGACCCCTGACTTAGAAAACATACAAAAACTAACTCAAAATGGATTAAAGATCTAAATTCAATAGCTAAAACTATAAAATGCTTAGAAGAAAACACAGAAAGTTTAATAAGCAAGGATTTTGAAATGGGTTGCTAGCAATGATACCAAATCACAACATACAAGAAAAGATTTAAATTTGACTGGATGGAAATTTCTAGAAAGGAAGATGCAATGGGCACAAAGAGATGAAAAGCCGACGACTGATGGGAGCGCCAGGTGCTGACGGCATCTCTGAGAAAGCTCTGAACCAAAGCACACAAGAAAATCCCACGACTGAAAAACAAAGAGACAAACCCCCAGTCATGGAGTAGCGTGGGCAGAAGAGCGAGCAAACCCGCGATTCTAGAACTTTCCAAACGGTAGCCCGTGTCTGGTCTGTGCTGCCCTGCATGTCTGCTGGGCTGACTCCAGGACAATCCCCAGTGGAGACTCGGCCACAGCGCCACCTGCTGGGGAGGCCCCGGCGCTGGAATCAGGGCTGAGCAAGGAGCAGCAGCTGCACCTGTGGAGCAGGTGGGGTGGTGGAGAGGCCCCTTCTCTGAGGAGGGGACAGCAGAGCAGAGGATGGGAGGCCAGTGTGTCCCAGGGTCCCTGCTGGGATCCCAGACCTGAGTGACTCCATCCCTTGGGCAGCAGGGGGCGCTGTGGGCCTGCCCAGCTGGACACCAGCCACCTGCTCCCTGTTGGGCCTGGTGCTCACCGCCCCCTGGGACACGCTGGCTGCTGCGTCCCAGCCCTGGGGAGGCTCAGAGCAGAGAAGCCTCAGAGCTCAGGGTGGGAGAGGCCAGGAGGGGGGCTGATTTGCATGGAAGGCCCCTCAGTCCCCTGCAGGGGGGACGTGGGTACAAGAGACACTGGCAGCTCTGAGGCAGCTGTGGGTCCCCAGGAACCAGAGCTCACAGGAGCCTCCACCATGGCCTGGGCCCCTGTCCTCGTCCCTCTCCTCGCTCTCTGCTCAGGTGACGGGCTGTGGACAGCAGAAAGGCTCGGGGGTCACCTGGGTTGATTTTCCCCATGTATCTGAGAGCGCAGGGTGGGCAGTGAGCCCAGACTCACCCCCTGTGTCTCCCCCTCCTCTGTTCCAGGGTCCTGGGCACAGTCTGGACTCACCCAGGAAGCCTCGGTGTCAGGGTCTGTGGGACACAAGGTCACCCTGTCCTGCGCTGGAAACAGCAACAACGTTGGATCATATGGTGTGGGCTGGTACCAGCAGGTTCCTCGTGGTGCCCCCAAAACTGTGATGCTCGGGACAACTCGGCCCTCGGGGATCCCCGATCGCTTCTCCGGCTCCAGGTCTGGGAACACGGCCTCCCTGACCATCTCGGGCCTCCAGCCGGAGGACGAGGCTGACTATTACTGTTCAACACGGGACGGAAGCCTGAGTGCTCACACAGCGCCCCAGACACAGGGGGAACTGAGACAGAAACCTGCTGCTGCTCCCCTGTGGTCGCCCTCATGACTGCCTGGGACCACCCCAGCCAGCAGGCCAACTGGGGCCAACACCGGAGGGTCCACGGGTGGGGTCTATCTCTCACGGCTCACACCTGTCAGGTGTGACAGGGTTTACAGGGTTTACAGGGTCAATGACATTCCAAAGTCAGAGACTTTGCTGTGTTTCACATTGTTTTTTTAAAAAACATGAGTTAAGATATAATTTGCATATCATAAATTTCATCACTTAAAGTATACAGTTCAATTTTTTTAGTGTTTACAGAGCTGTGCTACTATCAGCATAATATAAATTTAGAATATTTTCATTATCATACAAAGGAACAATTATTAGTCTAATAGCTAATATTACCGTAACTGTGGGTTGCAAGTCTGATTTTTGCTTTCTACATAATTTAAGAGATTAATACATTAAAATATTAGTCTTCTTTTTTTGACATGTAATGTATCAAAATGTAATGTATTGGTATCAGTACTTCATTCCTGTTTTTGCCCAATACTAGCAGTCTGGAGACACTACAGGTTGTTTCACCATTAACCAGTGGTGGACATTTGTGTTGCTTAAGCGTTTTGGTGTTATGAGTAACGTTGCAGTAAACCCTGGCAGACGAGATTCAAATCTCCCTGTGGACATGTGTGTTCATTGGTCGTTGGGAGACTGGCCGTTGTGGAATTTCAGGGTGAAATGGTAACCCTGTTGGATTAAATGTCTGATTGCTGTACTGAGGGGTGACCCCAGGTTTCCTTTCCATGAACACCGTCTGAGAGGTGCAATGTCTGCACCCTGTCTTCACCGTCGGTTATCACCCGTCATTTTGTTGTAGCCACCCTAATGGGATCGCAGTGGCATCCCACTGTAGGTTCCATCGCATTTCCCTAATGGCTAATGGTGTTGAAGCCTTTGCACGTGCCAGCCTGTTTCTCATCACACGTGAGCAGCTGAAGGTCGCAGGCCCTTCGTGAGTCCCTGACTCCAGCACACCTCAGGCCGAGGCCGTGTTGATCCCACACGCAGCCTGCTCCTGCCCAGGAAGCAGGACAGGTGTGTTCCAGCACAGGCTCCTCTCAGAGACAGAGGACGGGCAGAGCGAGGCCAGGCGCCCCGCCAGGCCCAGCGCAGGAGTCACCACTGGCCCGGCCGGCCCTGCAGCCCCAGGCCACGCTGCCCTCAGGCCTGTTGGAGCCTGCTCGCGAGCACGCGCCTCGCGGTCCTCACAGGGGACACGCAGCAGGTCCCGCGAGGGCCCCCATGCCTCAGCAGAGGACGTGCCACTGGGAACCGGGACTCGATGGGGACCTGCCTGCAGTGGCTGCTCTCTGCTCACACGGGCCGTCCTCACCAACCCACAGCCGCACGGACACCAGGCCGTCTCGTCACCAGGAACCAAACAACAGTCTGCGGAGAAGTGACAACTCCAGTAAATGAATGAGATGAGGCTCAAGTAAATGTGGGCTCAGGCTGCATTGAGGGGAGGACGGCATGATATTACCAAAGTGAAATTTATGCATATTTAATATGTCACTATCGTAAATGTGTTTTAATAAATGACAGAAGTTTGGGGAATGTTGACTTTTCAATAGTAGTTTGAAAAAATTTAAATTAAGAAAATAGCCTCGACTGTTTCTCGAATGAACAAAGAACGAGTGAAACATACTTAAATTTGGAGACTTATCTTAAAGTGAAATTATTTTAACAGTGTAGGCTGTTGCTGGAACAAACGGAAGAAAGGTTCCGTAACAGTCAGAAACAGAACTAGGTGTGCCAGGGGCTTAGGACAGATTTCAAATTCCTTGGAACAAACACAATGGATCCACGTCCCAACAGAAGCGTGGAACATTTTGAAATTTGCTTGTAAATTTAAAACAAAGTGAGATTGAGAATATCTAAGGAGACTCTTTGTATGCAAAATTAAAGGAAGAAAAGCCCCAGCCCTGATGGAATAGCATGGAAAACCTTGAGTTCATGAACCACTTGAGAACTGGGCAATAACTACTTTAAAACTTTTGAAAACCCTCAGGCAGCAAGGAATGGAGGGCTGGGGTCTGTGACAGGACACAGAGTGAGGTGACACGAATGATGTCGGCTCTGACGTTTGCTGGAAACAGGACAGTCAAGGGCGCGCGGTCTGGTACCCACTGAGGTTCTGCTCAGACTCAGGTGAGCACCAGGGCTGGGGGTGCGGCCACTTCTCTGGATGCTGGACGACGTCGCCAGTGCCGGGCTCGGTTCCTCTCTGGGCTCCAGCGTGGGGATGAGGCTGCTCATGAAATCATCGTGCTCCTCACGGCGTCATGGAGGAGTGTTTCTCTACAGGAAAATTGATTTGAGTTTGGAGCCTCTGAGAAGCAGAGACAAGGAGGAATTAGACAAGAAAGTAATATTGTTGTGTGGGAGGCACAATTGATAGACACAGGGGGAGGGGGCTGATGCAGGAGGGGGCTTCAGGCCTCAGCTCCCACCCCTGTGAAAGGAGGGAGGGAGGAAGGACGGGCAGGTCTGAGGATGCCCCAGCAGGCTGAGCGGGTCCTTCCCAATGGGGAGCCCGTTGGAGGATCCTGCTTCCTGCAGGGACCCCGGGCTCATCACTGCCTGATCCAGCCCAGGGACACAACTCAGTCACCTCAGAGATGCTCCCCATGCCTGGACTCCTCCCTTCTCCTCTTCCTTCCTCTCTTAGTCTTCCGTCCCCATGTCCCACTCAGAGGCACATGCCCTTCCTCCCCTTCCCTATTTCCTCTGCTGTCATCTCCCTCAGCCTCCCAGGAATGTGTCCTGCCAGATCAGTCCTTCAAGGTCTCCTAAAATTCCTGTCCTAGAGCTGAGTCTCTAATAGGGTGACAGAGGACAAGCACAGCTGTGGGTAAACCTCTCCCCTTAAATGAAGGAGACTCAGCCTCATGGCCCTGGGCATTGTCCCCACTGGATGCCTCAGCCCCACCCCCACCCCCTCTGCCCCACACCAGTGTCTGCCACCCCCTCTCTGAGCCTTGCTCTGGACAGGGCTGAGCATCCCACAGTCTGTGTTCCCCTCTGTGAACCCCATTTCCCCTCAGTGACCTCCTGGTCACACCAGCATCTCCAGCAAGTGCCCCTCCTCTGAGCCGTCCTCCCAGAGAGACCCTCGCTGTGCTCTGCTCCAGAGCAGGTGACAGGCTCTCATGGACCAGGTGTCCAAAAGGGCCACCTATGATGGAGTCTCATCAATTTTTGCCCACAATGCTCACAGAGTCTCTGAAAAGTTAAAAAGAAACACAAAAATTTATACAACTACTAACAATACTAACATTACTATCCAATTCACATCAGTAAGAGAAACATGCAACAGAAGGTGAAACCCATCCATATTACATCACATAAAATCACTATATATAAAGTAAAAATTCATAAAATTGTGCATGGTTCATATAATATATATAAGACCATTTCAAAATGTGAGCTCCCACCCTGACCTCCCGCTGGAGCCGTCTCTCCCCACAGACAGGGCAGGGGCTGCTGCAGCCATGGCAGGTTCAGGAGCTCAGGGGGGCCTAGGACAGAGCAGTGGGTGTGGCTGGAGCCCCAGAGCCAGGGGAGGGCCTGCAGGGCTGTGGGGTGGGCTGGACCAAACCAGGAAGGGGCTGAGGGTTGAGGACTGTGGGGTTCATGCAAACAGCCCTGGGAGTCACTAATGGAGTTTAATTCCCAGTTGACCTGCCTGTCCTGAGTGCAAAGGATTTGTCCTGGTGTCCTGAGCAGAGAGTCCTGAGGGAATCAGAGGATCCTGGTCATAGTTATTTACCAAAAGAGCCTCAGAGTCTGGGAGTGTGGGACCATTTGCACAGGTAAGCAGATTTGCATCTGGGACACAGTGAGGAAGGGATGGTGTCTGCATTCATCTGCCCAGGCATCAGCGTCTCTGGAGAGACATTAAAATGTCACACTGACATTCCTAGTGAACTACAAAATAAATAAATAAAAGTAAGAAAACACATACAGGGAAAATTATATTTGGAATACAAACACATTGTATTCTCTCTAAAAGAAAATACTAACCAGAAATATAAGACACAGATAATCAGAAAACTACAAATGTAGGAAGAAAAAACTCACTTCAAAAACTGAAGAAATGTGTTAGACTATGAACAATTAAATGTTATCCCGAGTGAACTACTAATTTCTCAGAAATCATATCTTCACAATTTCATCATTGTGTGAGTTTCGAAATGTTTTCTGAGTTGTTGAATTTTGAACACATCAATCGGACAATTCCTGGAACGTTGTTCTTCCATCCCATTCCCCTGAACAGCCTGTCCTGCCATTCAGATCAGCTCAATGATCCAGCATCTGAGGTGCCTACATTGGTAGCACGTGAGGGACATTTAGGTTTTTCTAGACTATAGCAAGTTATTGGAGGACAGTACCTAAAACTGTTATATATGTACATGATTGCACCTCTCATAGTCCAGGGTTCCTTCTGGGAGTGAGAAACCCCAGTGATCACTCATAGTGTATTGGGGTCTCTCCACCAGGGACTCAGCCCATGGGTGTGTGACCAGAGACAGTGACTGGGGAGCTGCAGAGACCAGCTGGGCTCTCAGGACTCTGGGCCATGGGGAGGTGTGTGACTGTGACCAGCAGGGGGCGCTGGGGGACTGCCCTGTGGTCCCTACACAGCTGCACAGGGAGGACCAGTCACTTGAAGGACCCTAGTCCTGGGAGCTGGGCCCTGTGCTCACTGATGGGGACTCAGCAGCTGTGTCCTCTCTGGCCTGGCACAGTCCCCTGAGCAGGGCTCTTTTATGGTCCCAGCAGCAGCTTCCTCCCAGGGCTCCCCCAAGGGGCAAAGCAAAGCCCCCCCTCCTCAGTGTGCAGTGAGAGCTGAGCTCAGCCCAGGGCTCAGGGAGGGGCTGGGCAGTCCCTGGATGGAAACACGTTTGCATGAGCAGCCCCTCCTCTGCAGAGGGTGGGGACAAAAGGAGGCCTGGGCAGCCCAGCCCCACTGTGGGGACCAGGGGCTGTGTGCACCATGG